AAAATCATGGCCGAAGGTAAAGGAGAAGCAGGCACAATTTTCACGTGGCAGAGCAGGAGAGAGAGAGAGTGAAGGAGGAGATGCTACATACTTTTAAACAAATAGATCTCATGATAATTTACCATCACGGGAACAGCAAGATGGAAATGTACCCCGGTGATCCAATCACCTCCCACCAGGTCCCTCCCTCAATACTGGGGATTACATTTCAACATGAGATTTGGGTGGGGACACAGAACCAAACCATATCAGACTCTTTCGAGTGTTCTCCTGCTCCTAACGGAGTCACAGCTAAACTACCAAAATTTTTATGCAGAATTCATAAGTAAGAATTCTATAACCTAGTCCTGATAGTTCACATCAAACATTCTGAGTCAAAAACAAATGTGCTGTTTAAAAATTTAGGTATTAAGATAAAAATATTCTCCAGAGGATGTATGGCTTCAAAATTTCAAGTCTCTATATTGCTTATTGTCATTAAGTCAATTTGAGACAGGGTCTTGCTCTGTCGCCCAGGCTGGAGTGCACTGGCACAGTCATAGCTCACCACAGCTTCAATGTCTCAGCAGAAGTAACCTTCCCACGTCAGTCTTCCAAGTAGCTAGAACTACAGGCACATGTCACCATGTCTGGCTAATTTTTTAAGTTTGCGTGGAGATTGCCCACATTAGTCTTGGACTCCTGGCATCAACTGATCCTTCTGCCCTGGCCATTCAAAGTACTAGGATCATAGGCCTAAGCCACTGTGCATGGCCAGCAAATTAATTTTTTTATCAACACAGCACATGTTTCTAGCATAGAAAGAGAAACAGAAAGCCTCAATAGGACAGTTTTCCCCAGACAATGACTAAAAAAATAGTTTGCATAACATAATGGTGGAAACTAGGGATATCTTGGTAATACATGTGCTTAATCAGTTATATTTTGTATGATAGTTTTTTATTTCTACCTTACTTAACTAGTTTTCTTTCGGTCTATTTCTTGATATATATGTATGGATGTATTAAGGCATTTCTTTCAAAACTCCTTTGAGAATATTTGGAGTTAGCCCACCACTGTGTCTCTTCAAGATGAGACCTTCCATTAACTTTCTATCAAGTTCGTTGGTTTTATAGTATTAATTTTTTTTCTTATATCCAAGTAAGTGTTAATAATGTAATGCAGTTACAATTTTTTAATTTTTTTATTTCCATAGGTTTTTAAAGAACAGGTGGTGTTTGTTTACATAAAGTTCTTCAGTGGTGAATTCTGAGATTTTGGTGCACCCATCACAAGAGCCATATACACTGAACCCAATTTGTAGTCTTTTATCCCTCACCCACTTTTCCCCCTTTCCCCCTGAATCCCCAAAGTCCATTTTGTCATTCTTATGCCTTTGCATCCTCATAGCTTAATTCCCACTTAAGAGTGAGAACATACAATGTTTGATTTTCCATTCCTGAGTTATTTCACTTGGAATAATAGTCTCCAATTTCATCCAGGTCACTGCATGTGCTGTTAATTCTGTTAATTCATTCCTTTTTACGGTTGAATAGTATTCCATTGTATATATACGCCACAGTTTCTTTGTCCACTTGTTGATTGATGGGCATTTGGGTAGGTTCCACATTTTTGCAGTTGTGAATTGTGCTGCCATAAATATGTGTGTGAAAGTATATTTTTCATATAATGACTTCTTTTTTTTCTGGGTCAATACCTAGCAGGGGGATTGCTGGATCAAATGGCAATCTACTTTTAGTTCCTTAAGGAATCTCCACACTGTTTTCCATAGTGGTTATATTAGTTTACATCACCACCAGCAGTGTAAAAGTGTTCCCTTTTCATCACATCCATGCCAACATCTACTATTTTTTTATTTTTTGATTATGGCCATTCTTGCAGAAGTAAAGTGGTATCACATTGTGGTTTTGATTTGCATTTCCCTGGTCATTATAAATTTTTTAAACCAGTTTCCATGTGGAATGTTTCATGTATAGCAACCTTATCCATATCTGAGTCTTCATTGAGAAAAGTTGGTCTCACGAGATGTGATTCTTTGAGGAAAACATAAATGCCTAGTCCTGAGAGTGGCAGAAAACATAGCCCCCATGAGGGCAATCAAATCTGGGTTATTATTGGCATAGGGATTAAAAGACAAAGACATGTTTTTGGGCTATAAATTGAAGATTTTTTCATTTATGGAGAAAAACAATTTCTTATCTCCTACCTTCTTCTGGATTCAAAAAACATTTAATATAGCCTTGGCATTTATCTGAAGGGTTTGGTGTAGTTTCAACATAGGAACCTGATTCCTACAGTACTGCAAGAACAAATGAAACTACACCAAAGCCTTCAGATTAACTCAAAATCACATAACTGAGAAGGCTTGTGTTGGGAATAGAGCCTGGGTCTTAAAATTTTCCTTTCTTCCTTCCTTTCTTTCTTTCTTTTTTTTTTTTTTTGAGTCCTGAAAATATATTACTGCTTGATGACTGCCTTGTTTTTGACTTAAAGTTAATTATCTCAGAGGAAACTTCTCCAAAGTGCTTCCACCAGATTCCTAAGTCATATGACCAGCTAGACAGTTTGTCATTCCAGAGACCGTGTCTGTGATAGAGCAAGCACTCAGTATGTCTTTGTCAGGTAAATAAATGAATGACCAATAGTTTAAAAGTAAAAAGAAGCAGAAAAAAAAATCTTGCAGAGTGTGTGTGTGCATATGTACACAAACAAAGACTTAAAAAATTGATTCATAGACAAATAGTTTTCAAAAATTCAGTAACCACCTTCACAAGGCTGGTTGTTATGTAAAGTGCCTCTCCTCTGTGGAAACTGTCCCCAAAATATAGCATCAGTCCAAGGTAAAAACCTACCTGATCATTTGGAAACTTTTGAGGAATCTCCAAAGGGAACAGAAATGTGTCACGTCTACCCTAGACCCTAAAGGGAAATGAGGCCCCTGGGAAGAGGAAGCAATGCACCCATGTGAGAAGCCCTGTGACCTTATACAACCTCCCAGCTGCCCAGGAAGCAAAGCCAACATGTGGATCTCAACCTCAAATGCCATGATGAGAGAGAAAATCTAGAGTGTGGCATCTGAGTCTCATAGCCAGAGACACACCCTATTTTGGGTCACAGCTGTCCATGCTGTTCTTGGATGGGAGGGACAAGGAGAAGGCCAACTGAGACCAAAGTCAGAAGACTTTGGCTCAGGTGGTAGGAATGATTGATCTGTGCTAGAATTTATTTAAAACTAGAACTTCATTTGATGACTCCTTGTACTTATATTTTCCAACACACCATATGGCTTGGGGTAATTCACACTTACCGACCCCGTACTTAACATTGACCTGGAAGTTACTGATTATAGACTAACCAAATCAAGCGTTGGAGAACACCAGTCTTGCCAAAACCCAATAATAGGCCTTTTGCTTTGTTTGCTATGTGCATGCTATTTATTTTGAAATGAATAAAGGAAAATTTTCAGCACCCACCAGTTTATTTCACATGCTTTTTTATGTTCCTGAACACCCAGTTAATTGCATTCCTGAGAAGGTGACATTTCTCAGGCACAGAAAGAATGATATTCATAGCTATTTTCCCAATCACGTTTTCTACCTGGCACCAAGAATGTTCAGTTGATGCTCAAGGGAATGTGTTTCACCTGAGTTCCCCTTAGATTGCATGCGTTTGTTTCATGCTGTTTATGTTGAGCAAAAGTCTGTTGGATATTTAGTTCAGTAACTAGCAAATTCTGTTCTGCTAGTCTAACACTTGACTTTAAGTAATTCACCTGCATGAAAGTAAGGAAACCTGTGTGCCAACAGGGGCTCGAGTATCCATAATTGTATGCTGTTACTTTGCTTTATTAAAAAGGAAAAGGAAAAATGAACACACTGATGCTAACATTTTGCCTTACAAAGCTCTTGCAAAAGTTTTCCATTTTGAATGTGCAATTAAATTGTAGAAAAGAATACTTATAAAACAAATTAATAAATTCACTGTCATGGGAAATGATTCTGAAAACTTTTATTAGACCGATCACTTCTTCAATTCTCTTAAAACCATTGTGTAGATTCAAATGCACTTAGAAGGATGTGCAGATTTTATCCACCCAAGGTCCTAGTGATTTCCTTAAAACAATTGATTATGGCCCAGGATGGCAGGGCCTTAGAACTGAAATTTGGAGAAATAGTAATTGAAAAATGGTTAAACTTTAAGCAAATAATATCAGATAGGCATCATTAGGAATCTTTAAGGCAGTGGTTCTCAACCTTAGCCATGCACTATATAATCACCTGGGGAGCTTTTAAAATCCAAGACAGCTAGGCACTGACCAATAAAATCAGAATCTCCAGGGTCTGGCATGAACATTTTTTAAAAAGCAGGTGTTTGCTGATTGCAAAAAATAAAATAAAATAAAAGCAAGTGATTCCTATGTAACATTTAAAATTGAGAACTCTGCTTTAGAGAAAAAAAACAGTGGAACTCCACCCCCTCAACAATTCTTAGAATGTATAGAATGTTTCACCCAAATGGCCCAAACATCTGTCATTCACTTGTCCCATGATGCAGATTACCTAAGCAGATCATATATCTGTCTTGTGGTTTGGTGTTCCACAACTCATAAGTAGTAACCCTTGTAACAAATTCACCTCAGAGATGACTGAGATAATCAGAGAGGTATGTTTTTCTCAGCTATATTATTTTCCCTAATGTTCATTGTAAATGTATTACATTTCATACATTTCAAGTCTGATCTTTTACCGTATAGTTCCAAAAAATATTTTATATTTACAAACCAAGTTAATTTCAATTAATCCTGTTTGGCATTAGATTTACCCTCTGTTTCATATCATACATAAATTAAATTTTATACAGATTAGAAACTACAAAGCAAAACACAATTATGAAAAGTCCAGAACATTTGGAAATATGTAAGCAATTTCAGGATGAGGAGGTCTTTCCAAGCATGGTTATAAGGCCAGAAGCCATAAGAGTAATATAAACTGATACTACACGACAATGTAAAACTTCTTTATTCAAAAATCATAAATAAAAGCTGAAAAACAAATGAAAAAATCGGGGATGGATATTTGCAGTATATGTAGCCGATCAACAGTTAATATCCTTAATAGTTTAATGTTTTTACAAACTAAAAAGGCAAAGATTAACAACCTAATAGAAAATGTGTAAAGTCTTCAAATAAACTATTCATGAAGAAGTATAAACAACCAAAATAGATGAAGAGATATTCAGTCTCAGGAAGAAAAAAAGAAATTGAAATTGAAATAACGAAGAAACGTTTGCGTACTTATCTGACTGGCCATGATTCGATAATGCCAGTGATTTCAATGGTGTGGGAAACAGACACTTCAATGCACTACTGGAGTCCAATCTTTCAGCTGAGAATACTTTGAAAAGATATACTACAATTTTTAAATACACTTTGACTCAACAATCCTGTCTAGGAGTTTATCCTGAGAAAACAAGACATGTGGGCAAAGATGAACAAATTAGGATATTTACTGGAGCATTCTTTATAATATCAAAAAATATGGAAGCAACCTAATTATTCATCATTAGGAACTTGGCTAGATTAACGTGCTTCATCCTTATTAGAGGAATTGTGAAGGGATGAAGTTAGTCTTTATCTACTGACATGAGATGATGCCCTCAATGTATTGCTAGTTTTTAAAAGCAATTTCAGAACAACATGTGCAATTTCATCTCATTTAATGTAAAAAAAAAGTTTATTTAAATTTAAAAGTCTAGAAAGCTATATACAAATTACTATTCGTTATTATCTTTAGGAGAAGTGGCAGATGGAACAAGTAAGAAATTTTGACTATATATATTTCTAAGTTGCTTAAAAAAATCATACATTAACAATCATCAAACACAAAAATGCTGTTTCCATTTTGGTAAAACAAAACAAATACCTCCCCTCTGTGATACTCTAGCCCATGTGCCTGCATTTGCACACTCCCAAGAATATGTGGGCCCCTTTGAAAGGAAGTACACCCTTCAAACAGCCTATGGGGCCTACAGGCTTAAGGGCCGAGCCTGACAAAGACTGCAACATTTTATAGAATTTTATCAAGCAAATGCTTTTTGAGGTCCTTCTTTGTGCTCTGTCTCTGTGTTCAGCTGTTAATCATATAAAATTTATGATGAGTAATTTTTGCATTATAAAGCAAACCAGTTGTACATAATTGGCTTTAAAAGGAACCCAGCATTCTTATTTTTTCTTTTTCAACCTTCAGTAATTACAAGAACATGAAGTATCTTCCTAGTGAAAAAGAAAATGAATGAATGAATAAATCAAGGAATACAATGCTGACTATAATGAGGCCTTGATTTTTTGATGGGGAAATAATGGATCCATTTTAATCTTCAATTATCCTTTATAAGGACTTTCTTCTGCCACCAAGTAAAAAAAAGATATTAATTTGGCTCAGACAAATCAAAAATATTAGTGAATATCAGAACCATAAAACTGTATTCTCCAAAACACTTTCTTTCCTTGGTCATCATAGTAACACATGTGAAACAATCATATGTTGTTTTGGTAAATTGACAGACATGGTCATTTCCTTCCAAGAGTTTAGTCTCTAAAATGTGATCACAGTCAATAAACTTATAGCCATGCATCAAGAAATCTATTTGACCTCCAAGAGATGACTACAGGGCCAGTTTATCAAGAAGCAGACTGTCTTGCAGGCACACAATCATGCACACACAGACACACACACATATTTTTAAAAGCCAAGAAGTAGGGACACACCTCTTAAGCAATGCTTTGAAAATGAAAACCCTAGATGTTCCATTTTACGAATGTGCACATTGCTAGAGTGAAAAAAGATTCTGCTAAGGATAAAAGGGTATCAGGATTGGCCAGCATGTGTGGGCAGGATTGGGGTGAGATGGAGTCCTAAGGGAAGTTAATTCAATAAATGTCGAGTTTATAAGTATTTCCCATGGTTAAAGGACCCCATTTTTCCAGAAGAAAGACAATCCGCTGCTGTGTTTTGACATTGGCTATCAAATGGCATAGATCATATTTAAGCAAATACCAAAACTGCCTGCCTAAAGTAGTCATGTTCTAATAATACATGTGCACCATTGACCAAAAGATGCACCTTAATTACATTAATAACGATTTTCAATTTTTCAATTTTCACTACTTCTCCTTCAAAGTTTTTCTTGTCTTTCTGCTGTAGTCTAAATGATTGACTAGAGGATGTTTAGTTTACAATGTCCTTCAGTGTCTCTTCTGCTGCATGCCTGACTCCTGGAATATCCATGAATGTTCTCAATAAAATTAATATAATAAGGCTTACTCCACTGTTTTCTAACTCTGACAGTTACAAAAAATCAAACAAAACAAAGTAGATTTTTTTTAAATGTAAAACCACACTGTTTCTGTGTAATTCCAGTACGGCCTCTACATACATTTTATAGAACAGTGTTTTTCAAAGTCATTAATTCACCTCCTTCTCCTGAGTTGAGTATCAAAATGCAGTTTTCAAAAGCCCATATTGCTGAATTTGAAATTCTACATGTAAAGCCAAGTAGTCAGCATTTTAACATCCTAAGCAGACGCTCCTAAGCATGGTCCTTTAGAGTAATCATGCCATTTGCTGCACTAAGCTAAATGGTCTCCCCATAGTCATTCCCCAGGTCCATAACCCTTCCATGATAAACCTGACGATAAACATGGTGCTTTGTATTCCTAGTTGTCTTACTATGGATATTATAGTTCATCAAAGTCTGTACTTAAATTTGGTCCCAGAAATTAAGTCTGACCTTGTAGAGATGGTTATTAATGCAGAGTACATAGGGATTCTTCCTTCCCTTGATCTAACTACTACTTAAATTTTTTTAAATGACATAATTCTGTTAATTCAGAGAATGATTATAATCAATCAAAGTCACAGTTTTTCATTTGAGTTTCCATATTTGTGCTATATGACTTCTAATTTAAGTGCAAAATTTTACACTTATTGCTATTAAATTTAATTGTGTTAATATGCCATCTCATTAAGATAACGTTTAATTTTCAGTTTCTTCATCTATCATATAAAATCATTTATTGATGGCTTTATACTGCACGAAAAAGCCACTGTTCTCTTTCCTTTAGGCCATTCAGTTTGAAGTTTTCATAATTGATTTGGGTGAAGATAAACAGAGTACTTCTAGGGGAATGTGGAAGATATTCAAAGACACAGAAATGGCAGTTTTACCTCGAGAAATAAGATGGACTAGTTTCTCCAGGTGTACATGTTTATTTCCCCTCCATTAGGAGGGCTATTCAGTGAAAAAGTATGAGAAGCACTGAAATAAGATACCTTGTCTATTTGCATGCCCTCTGCAAAGTTGAGAAGCCTCTATATTCATCCAGCCATTGGCGAAAATGCTGAATAAAATAGGGTAAAGGCATACTACTGGAGACTATAACATCGCTAATAGACACTCCTGAAAACAGACAATTCCATATTGCTACATCACGTCAAGATGAATACCAATCACTAGCTGCTTCAATTTAATTTTCAAGCAATCCTTTCATCTACATGCTTAGTAACCTCATAAAAAATAAATCAGATGAGTGTAACAAAAGCTTGTCCTTATTTTACATTTGTTGGTTACTAATGACCAACAATGAATGTTAGTTGGTTACTAACATTCATTTCTGAATGCTCAAAAACTAGAGCATTTTTAACAATCTGTTGTTAAATCTGCAAATATGAATTAAGTTGTCTATAATTTCCAGAATCCTTTCTATTTCTCTCTTAAAAATAAAGATGAAATGTACCCATCTGTGATCTTGTGGCATCTCTCCTATTTGCCATGACTTTTCAAAGACTACCAAACAGTAGCTCTAAGTTTACAGCTGGAAATTCTATTCCACCCTGGTACAAAATTTATCTGGTCTTATTTTAAACACCTTGGAGTTAGCTTGCCAGTGCATATTTTATCTTGTGCTGCAATTTCAACTTTTCATAGTTTATTCTCCATATGCAATTTAAACCCAATCTAGAAACAAGAGAAGAAAAAAGTAGGAGTTGAATGATGCTGTTAATCTCTGATATACCTTCTGTTATCATCTCTAAGAAGTAGATTTATTTCCTTGCTCTTTTTGAAATCGTGGATTGACAAACTACAATTGTATATATACATATTTTCAAGCTAATTAATATATCTATCATTTCAACACTTATCTTTTTCTGTGGCAAGAACATTTAAAATTTATTCTCTTAGCAATTTTGAAATATACATTATTATAGTTACCAATGCTACGCAATATATCTAAAATAATTTGTTCCTCCTGTCTAACTAAAACTTTGTACCCTTATGAGCTCCCTTAGTTTATGGTAATGAGTTCCCTTACCATTTCTTTGTCTGGGAATGCTTTTATTTCTCCCTCATTTCTGCTAAGAAATCCACTGACATTGAGACTACCTTATATGTGATATGTTTCTTATCTAGTGCTGCTCTCAATAAAGAATTTTTTCTTCATCTTTGATTTTTGATACTTTGATTATTACATGTCTTAGTTAACTCTTCTTTGAATTGAAATTGATTGGAAACTCCTGTACTTTCTGTACCTAGATACTGGCATCTTTTCTCCAAATTTGGAGAGTTTTCTGTCACTATTTCTTCAAATATGCTTTTAATGCTTTTTTTCTGTCTTCTTGTTGAACTCCTATTATATGCATGTTAGTTCTATTGATGGTGTTGCATAATTCCTGTAGGCATTCTTTATTTTTTTTATTCCTATGACTGAATAATTTAAAATTTTCTGTCGTTGAGATCAGAGGTTATTTATTTTTCTTGACTGAGTCTGCTGATGAAGTTTTCTATGCAATGTTTTCAGTCCAGTCATTGCATCCCTCATCTCTAGGGTTTTTTTAAAAGGTCCTATTTGTCAAACCTCTCATTTTGTTCATGTATTGTTTTCTAACTTTCTTTTAATTTTCTGTCAATATATTCGTGTAGTTCAGAGTTTCCTTACAAGGATTATTCTGAGTTTTTGTCAGTCATTTTATAGATTTCTCTTTCTTTATGGTCTGTCATCGGAGCTTTACTAGTTTCTTTTGGAGGTGTCATGATTCCCTGATTTTTCGTAATCCTTGTGTCCTGGATAGGTGTCTGTGTATTTGAAGAGACAGCCACCTCTTACAGTCTACAGGTGTTCTTTGGGAGGGATAGACTTTAGTCTACCCTGTGATTCTGGATAGGTCAGCTGGTAATGGCCACACGTAGGTAGAGGTTGCTGTTGGGTTCTCTGGTTGGCTGGGCCACTGCCATTGCTCTGAGGTTGTGTGAGGCTGGTGGCTGGGCTCTGCTGTGAAGTGAAACCACTTGCTGGGCTTTGCTATCAGGTGAAGCTGATGGCCAAGCAATGTGATGGTCCCTGATCAAGCCAGGTCACCAGGTATATCCCCTGGCTGAGTGGTATCACTGTTTGGGTTCCACAGCTGGGCAGGACTGCAGGCTGGGTTTAACAGAGTTGCTGTTTGGGACAAATGGGACCAGAGGGTATACGCCATGGAAATCCACAGTTGAGGCTTGCTGCCCTGCCTGGGTGGTGCCTTGATGTGGGCTCTGGGACCAGATCAAGTCACTGATTGACCTCCCATGTCTGGCAGGTTTAGCACCTGTGTTTTGAAGAATGCAATGTTGTGGGCATCTCCCTGAGTAGGCAGGGCCTTGCAATGGGCTCTGAGGCTGGGCTTTGATGCTGGATGTCTAGAGACTAAAGCCAGGTTGAATTTCCCACCATGCTTCTGGGAGTGATCAATTCATGTGGCCTGTGCTATTGGCTGGCATCTCTGACTGGGCACCACAGCTGGCAGGAACAGAAAGCTACTGCCAAGATCTGCACACTGGTCACTGTGAGCTCTGTCTTTTTTGTTTCTAACTGACCCCAGACAGTCTAACCATGCCATTACTTCCAGTGTCCCCCATAAGGCAAGACTGGTGTGAGCTTCCTTGGATGCACCCTGGAATGCTAGGAAAGCTGGATGTCTGTCTCTGGTTGTTTTCCTATTTTAAAATCATGGGCCCCAGGCCCTCCCACGACTACAGCCACTATTATAAGGACATCAAGGACCTGCAGGACAAGATTCTTGGTGCCATCATTGAGAGCTCCTGGACTGTCCTGCAGATTGACAATGCCTGTCTGGCTGCAGATGACTTCCGAACCAAGTATGAGAGGGAGCATACTCTGCTCATGAGTGTGGAGGGCGACATAATGGCCTGCACAGGGTGCTGGTTGAGCTGACCCTGGCCAGGACCAACCTGGAGATGCAGACTGAAGGCCTGAAGGAAGAGCTGGACTACCTGAAGACATCAAGACCCTGAGGGGACAAGTGGGAGGCCAGGTCAGTGTGGAAGTGGATTCGGTTCTGGGCACCCATGCTGCCAAGATTGTGAATGACATGCGGAGCCAATATGAGGTCATGGCCGAGCAGAACTGGAAGGATGGTGAAGCCTGGCTCACCAGCCAGACTGAGAAACTGAACTGGAGATTGCTGACCACACAGAGCAGCTCCAGATGAACAGGTCCAAGGTCCCTGACCTGCGGCGCACACTCCAGGGTCTTGAGATTGAGCTGCAGTACCAGCTTAGCATGAAAGCCACTTGGAAGGCCACTGACGCACTTTGGAGTTTGGCTGGCGCAGATCCTTGCGCTGATCAGCAGTACTGAAGCTCAGCTGGGCAATGTGTGAGCTGACAGTGGCAGAATCCAGAATACCAATGGCTCATGGACATCAAGTCGCAACTGGAGCAGATCACCACCTACCTCAGCCTGCTCCAGGATCAGGAAGATCACTACAACAGCCTGTCCACCTCCAAGATCCTCTAAGGTAGCAGGCTCCTGGGCTTCTGCTCTCCGTTAGAGGGTGTCTCCTGGGTAGGAGAATGGGAAGGAAGGGATACTTACCCCTAGCACTTCCCCTGAACTGCCAATAAAATTTTATGGCCCAAGGAAAAAATAAAATAAAATCATGGACCCAGGGGAACTCTGTCTGTGTGGCCCTGTACCAACTTGGGGGTGGGGGGAGAAATGTAGTCAAAATAAGACCATGTCTCTTACCCTTTAATGTGGTTTTTATCTCATTCTGTGGTCCACACTGGAGTCAGGCTCATTCCCAATTTAGGGACTTTTTCACAAAAGTTCTTGTTTGTGAATAGTTGTTAGTTGGACTTTGGTTGAAGGCACATGAAGTCTAGGACCTCCTACTCAACATCTCACTGTTGTCACTCTCCCCTCCTTGTTCTTTTTGACATAAAAAGGCATCTGTCTGATGCAGTGGCTAAAAGCTATAATTACAGCATTTTGGGAGGCCAAGGAGAGAGGGGAGCTTTAGGCAAGGACACTATGGCTGCAGTGAGCCCTGATCATGCCACTGCACACCAGCCTGGACAACACAGTGAGACCCTATCTCTACCAAAATAAATAAATAAAGTAAAGCCTCACAGCTCCTTTTGGTCATGTTTACCTTTTTTTTTTTTACATCCTCAATTCATTAGGTTTTTACTTTATAGCACTTTTAGAGTAGATTTGCTATATTTCCACATTCACCTTTGGTTACTCTTCCTTCGTATAAACATGTCATTTAAAATTTGAGATTAATAGACAATCATTCGACTTTCCTGAGCTGTCTCCCATTTTATTTGAATTATTTCTTGGTTTTAAAAAAAAATCTCTCTTCATTAGCCATAATCTTATTTGAAACTCAATTTCATGGGGCAAAGCTGTTTTTTTCCTTGAATTTTTTTAAAGTTTCCCCAAAGCCAAGGTATTTGCTTGAGTATATTTGAGCTCCATTTTCTGGCCATGATAAGAGCTTTGAACATTTGCAATTTTTCATGTCACAGTATAACATTGATAATAGTCTCACCCGTGACACACTCACTGGTGTGTGACACGCTCTCACTCTCACAATTTCCACAAAACTCAAATACATTATTCCTGAAAATAAAACGCTGTAATCATTTTTAGTTGCCACATATATTGGCTATATATTAGTAAGGCTTGCTGTCCACAGTGTTTCTGGGGATGCTGATAAACTATTGATGATGTGGCATTCCGTGCTTTTTTCACTAAGATCAACCTTTCTTTCTCACTTAAGAAAACATACTTGTAAGAACATGAGAGCACTGATACTATTGAGATAACTTTACTCTCAAATGTATGTATTTTTAGAAAGAAGATCGTGTGTCATTTTAGTGCTTTCACTATTAGTGATAAATTACTTGCAACACACCTCTTGTGCCAAAACCCTGTTGAGAAATAATCCAGGTGCTTTCTCCTGAGGTTCCTATCCCTCTTCACACCACCAACTAGTTTTTTTACTCTGTCAAAATTAAGCCCAGGCTTAGCTTGATTTTCATTATGAGGACAGTAAGTAATTTATCTGATCAGGATGGTACAAGTTAAACTGCCTGGACAAATAACCCGCCTTTGTACAATTCAGGCACCTTTCCATATCCACCATTTGGCTCAGTAGTCTGTAACATTCTCATACAGTCATATTATTTTGAATATTGGTAGTATATTAGTAGTCGGTTTATATGCGCCTTTTAAATTCATGGCAATGAAATTGCATTACATCTATAGCAGAGTAAAGGCATACAAGCTTTGTAACCTTTTAATTTAAAATAAGTTGATCTAAAATAAATTTAAGCTAAACACAAAATTGTCTGCAAAAGATATTTTTTTAAATTGTTAACAATGAATACTAAATTGAAAACTGTTAGATCATTAGACAATGCACTGAGTGACGAAAGCACCAAGGACAATGAGGCCTGAAAGAAAGGAGAGAGGAGTGGAAGGGAAGGGCAGGGTGGGGGGGGGAGGGAGGGAGGGAAATAAGGAAAGGAGACAAGGGAGGTGAAGGGACAGGAAAGAAAATTATATAAGAAGGGGAATTTGGGGAGTTCTGAGAGGCTATCCACTCTTACTGGTCCTCTTACTAATACACAGATTATGCCTATACTATAATTATTTTTTCTTTTTAATTAAGAACCACGTAGAATGAACAATTTTTCCATTCTACAGCTGCTTGTATTATAATTTCTAGAAAGTGGTACCTTAAAGCCAATCTGTTTCTTACACAAAATATTGTATTTTCTTAGAACTTGCATCTCAGAATATTTCAGGACTCCTGACACAGCTTTAGAAATCTATTCTATACTCCCAAATCTTCCCTGTAAAGAGAATAGCATCTTTATCAAGATGGCTGCCACAACTGCCCCTGCTGCATGGCGTCAAGAAAGGGAAGGGGGTGGAGGCCCAGAACACTAGCAGGACTTCTAGCCATGTCAGGGTAGAGGTAAGGGAATCTACCCTTACCTCTACCTGCAGATGGTCAGACTGTAGACAGGAGGAAGGGAGGTCACCAGAACAGGACCACCACACCACCTCTGGGTGAGCAGGTGAGAGGTATCCAGCCGTCCAGTCCGGGTACACCAATCAGCATTAAGGTGTTCTGTAGAAAGCATATTGTGATGGTAAGGCAGGAATAAGTGGCATCCTCGGAACAATCTGGTGGGCGTTGAACTGTATCAGCAGAGGATATACGGTAAGTCCAGCATCCGGTTGAGCAATTAGGAGAGGTCATGAGAACAGGGTTCAGCTGTGGATATGGGGCAGTCTCACCAATGGCAAAGGAGGGGCAGTTGACAGTAACTAGGGCTTGACTGTGAAGAGTGGACAAGTGGCAGAAGGTTGGTGAAGGCGTGCTTAGCAAGCTGGGTTTGGCCACTCTGGGTAATCAAAATGACCCTGTGGTGGAAATTGTCAGTGACTTCAGTGCTGGGTAACCAGTGAATAGGTCTCAAGAAGCAACATCTCAATGCGGAATGTTGGGCCACCCGGAGCAGTGAAAGACAGCAGGCACGCTGCGTCTTGGAAAATGGCTCTAGGGATATAAAAGGAGTTGAATGGACCTGGCAGTAGCAGGCTTGGAGCTGCTTGATTGCAGAGCAACGACAGGCCAGAATGGAAGAGGAGGACCAGGAGAACTCAGAGCGAAGCAGTAAGGTCTGAAGAAGATACTGTGCGCTGGTGGATGTTATAGATGCAGAGGTGGTCCAGTGAAGCAAGAGCTTCAGGTCTTGTCCATCCAGCGGGCTGCCCAGCACAACCGAGGTTTCCAGGCCATAGAAACTGTGGCAGAGGTGGCCTAGTTGGCAAACGCCAAGTAGAGATTAGTCGAGGTTGGTAGGCCTGTCTCCATGGCTATGCTAGGTGTCAACGGTGAAGGTGTCTTCCAGCAGCAGGTAGAGAAGTCTGGGTTTGGTCCAAGAGGGCATGAAGTAGTCACTGCAGACATGATGGGGCAGGGGCCCTCATAATGCTGCTCAGAGGTGCACAGGCAGTGACTGGGCCCAAAATGTGTTTGTGAGGGGAAGGCGGAGAAGCTTTTGTGCACAAGGCAAATCCTCACAGCCCAGATAGACTTGAGTTGAGGTTAAGGGCTAGATGAGTGTCGCCTCTGTCCTGTGAAGACGGAGGTAAGTAAACCCACTGGAGCACACCTAAATGTCTCAGTGGCTCTCTTCCCTCCTGAGTGGTAGGTACATCATCCACTTTCAGCCTTCGCTGTAAGGCGGCTTATGCTGGAGCTGGCTGCTTGCCAGGCCATGAACAGCCATTGCGACAGAGTACAGGAATAGCTTCTATCACGCCTGCCTGCTCTGGGTCCGGAGTCCCACCTGACTGTCCTTCCTGGATAAGCTGGACAGGATCTTTAGGTAATGAAATCAACCTTCCCATCTTTGGAAATGGCTGCTAGCTGTTGTATTCTTGGCCTGTGAATTGTAGCTCCCTTCCTCTTCAGTAAACACAGTACAGCCAGGTGGCACCTTTCCTGTTGGGCCGCTGCACCAGGTCTTTGAGCAGGCTTTGGATTTCCGCCTGTATCAAAGGGCCTACAGTAGCACCCCCTTACTCGAGGTTTTGTTTTCCATGTTTTCAGATGCCCAACTTCAACCACAGTCCCAACATTTTTAATGGACAAATCTACAAATAAGCAATTCATAAATTTTAAGTTGATCTTGGAGGTGGTCCAATCAAGCTAGAGTTTCAGGTTTTGTCCGTTCCAGATGGCTGCCAAGCACAAGTAGGGCTCCGAGTGTTTCCAGGAGGTGTGGCTGTGAGTGGTCTGATGCAATCTTCTGCCATCCTGCTCCATTCCACCCAGGATGTAAGTCATCCCTTTGTCTAGAGGATCCACACGACGCACGCCCAGCCCATCGGTCACTTTGGAGCCGCCTAGGTTATCAGGTGGACTGTCACGGTATCACAGTGCTTGGGTTCTAGTAACCCTTGTTTTACTTGACAGTGGTCCTGAAACACAAGAATGGTGACACGGGCAACTTGAATATGCCAACGAGAAGCATAAAGTGCTTCCTTTACATGAAAAGGTGAAAGTTCCTGACTTATTAAGGTTAAAAAAAAAAAACCCTCATAGGCTGAGGTTTCTAAGATTTAAGGTTAAGAATGAATCTTTTATCCATAAGAATTTTCTTAGTCTGTTTTCTGTGTCGTAAGAGAATACCTGAAACTGAGTAATGTATAAAGAAGAGAGGTTATTTTGGCTCACATTCTGGAGGCCTAGAAGTCAAAGATCTGCCCACTATATCTGGTCAGCTTCCAGCGAGGCCTCTGCCGTGCCACAGCATGGCAGAGAAGTGGAAAAGGAAGTGGAGTGTGCCAGAGGGAGCCAAGGCAAGGAGGACCGTCACTGTGTAACCACCAGCTCTGATGGTTACTAAACCAGTCCTGATAGAGAGAATGCTTGCTTTGGGAACTGGGATTCATTCTTCCTCACCCTAGCTGTTTATGGAGGTGGCAGCTGCTTTCTTAACTGTGGTCAAGTGGTGACTGGAAATGCCTGTGGTGCCGCTGGTGGGAATCTGGCACACTCAGGATGATCACGCCACAGCTCACAGGCCTCCAGGCCAGCCAGACACAGAGTCGTAAGTCTGAGGTGAGCCCCTATGATTTGGATGTACTGCTCATGGGCTGCTGCCAGCAGCACCCAGCAGGCATTGTAGGGGGTGGTGAAACCCTTGAGAAGCCGCACTGTCCCACTGGGAGCATGCAGAGAAAGAGGGATGGCAGCCACATGCCCTTTGGTGATTTGGTGACTTTGCTAGTGGCATTAGACCAGGGGTCTGTTGGTGGAGTCTCTTTCTCTGGTTAGTGGACAACAACAGATAAGCTTTCTGTGGAGAAGCTGTGCCCGAGCCTTCTTGGTCTGTGAGGTCATGATGTCAGGATCTTTGGGGATAAGAAAGGAGTTCCTCTCCCACAGCCGAGGCTAGAGACACACCAGCTGGTGGTTGGCTCAAGCCCAGGATGTCCCCCAACCCACACGGTCCCTATCACCCTCCTCCTAGGAGCCCACCTTCCTGTGAAACCAGAGTGGTCTTAAAAGTAATTTTGGTGAGTTTTGCCTGGTGGCGACTTCCAAAACAGAGGTACAAAGTGAGCGTAGAAGGCAGCAACAGATCCGAAAAGGGAACAAAAACTGCCAGACCACTGTGGAGTGTTCCACAGGCCTCACCCAGTCTCTTGATCAGAGCCAGGCCCTGGTCACTCTCCCTTGATTCTCCTCTAGAAATGGGTGTCATCACTCATTGGCTTACTCAGATTTTATCCTCATCGCTCGTTGTGTTCTGAGGTTTTGGGTGGTCCCAGTTAGCCAGCTTCCCAAGGGTGATTTATCCCTGTCAGTCTAAATCTCATCAAAGATGAGTCTTAGACACCATCTAATGTTCGAGCAGTTTATTCCAGCAGTGCTTTTACAAGGCAGAAAGCAGGAGCTGGCCGGTGTCACAGGCCAGATAGAGTCAGGGGTCAGATGACCAATGGAGTGGGAGGGCTTCTATTTGAAGACCATTCTCAGAGTTTCAGAGATCTTTCCCATTTCTTACACATGTATTCAGTCTGGGTCCATTACCAGGTGTTTTTCATAGAGCAAGTTTAATTTAGTAAGGTCAAGCTTTGTTCTAAGATTTATGAAATTGCCTCTGCGCTGAGGTGGCCTTGTCTCCTGGACATCCCTGGGCTGGGTTGCATCATCCTGCTAAGTGACATGCAGTATCAGCTCTGTGAGATGCTTGAGTGGGTTTTATCACTATCATTAATAGCCACAGATGTCTCTCGTAGTATACTATAGTTATTAAAATGCTTTTTTTAAAAAAAACGAATTTTATTGATGAACTCCTTTCCGATGTATTTAAGTTCCCCGATGTTTTTAACCTAGGAAAAGAGTCTAACCAAATGAATCCATTGAAGCTTCCCTTTCAAAATCCTAAAATACCCTTTGGGGTTCTAAAACAGACTTTCAAAGGGCAGTAAATAATTTCAAAAGCTTTTTCTTCGTCAAGAGAATCAAAAGATAATGTGGCAAAAGACAAACAGCTTGGCTCGTGGTCCTTTGGCTACTTATACATCTTCTGACAAAGCAGAAGTGAAGGAAGAAGGAATGAAAAAAGGAGAAGGAGGGAAGACAAGGAGGGGAGAAAGAAATAAGAAAAGAAGAGCAAATAGCAAAATATTAAAGTTATTTTTAAATATCCATACCCTCTGTCAGCAGATGTGTTTAAATGCAACAGTTGCCGTTTTTAAAGAAATGGTCTATATGTCATGATCTTCTTTGTATACTTACTTTTGCTAATACCTATATTTCTAAAGAAAAGTGAAATTTTTCTTACATGCAATATGAACACAACTCTACAGTATTATAATGCATAATGTTACCAAGAGACAGAGCCCCGCCCCCCCCCCCCCGTGAGTTGGATTTAACCTTAGCAAACGTAAAATACTTTATAATCCCATGCTCACCATTAGGCAACGTCAGAAAATGTCCACAGCAAATGTCATAATGCACTTCGAACATGAATAAACATCAAGGCTTAGCTGGTTATGCTACTGTTTCCTCGTTACTTTAAAAAACCGTATTTTTAAATACAGATTTTACTTGCTACTTTCACATGAACTTATTTTTAAGAACTAAAATATTACCCTTTAGTATTAATAATTCATTAAGCACCACTCTAAAAATTATTACCTCAGACCTTTTCCACACAAGAAAAAAAAATCAAAGTTATTTGTCTTTTCAGTTCAGAGGTTTCATGGTATTTTTAAAACACATTTCAAATCATTCCATTTGTGATTTTCACTAACAACATGAAAGTCTGTCCAAAAGTCATTAAAACCTAGGGTCAATTATACCCTTAGATGCTAATTTTGTAGCTCACATGCACTTGAGCTGCAGAACCTTAGCAAAAATACTCTGGTCAGGAAACTTCACTTTTAAATGTCACCTGAGATTCCACACTTGACCTAGAACAAAGGAGCAATTTTTCTGAGTCATCCCTGTGCCTTCGTGTCCAGAGCTCACCCACACTTTGAGACCTGGGAAACAGGGTCTCAAATTGGATATAAGTCTCTTTTGCCAAATCATCTTCCCAAAAAGGTTCTGACTTACATTGCAGCTTGCAAACTTTGTACAACAAGAAACAAATCAATGGTAAGACAAGAACACAGGCAGTACTGGTCACCACGAGAAGGAGAGACCATTGAGAATCATCTCCTTCAACTCTTTCAGTAGAAAAGGTGATGCATTGGTCTTTCTGAGGAGGCACTCCTTTTGGACAGACACAGGCCATGTATTGCCCACCGGGTTCCAAGCCATCTATGGTTACTTGGTTCTTGCTGGAGTCTGCATTTAACAGCAGCATGTCCTTCCCACCATACTTGGAATACAACACAGTCACTGCAGAGTTATGTGTGGTGTTGATCATATTCCACATCAATGTCACACTCTCTTTCGTCTCGCTGATCACCCTGAGGTTTTCTATTGTGGCATTTGTCTCTATAAGCATTGTTTGATCTAACAATGCCAGCTCTGCTTTCTTTCTTGTGCTGGCTGGAGGAAGCTTACTTCCACTCTTCGCCACCTTTAAATTTCTTTTCCCATCTGGGTGGAACTGGAGTGATTGCTTGTTGGCCATGGTAGTACTTGCTGAGATGCTCGTGCTCAGAGTAGTGGTTGAAGAAGCGGTGGAGGAGAAGGAAGGAGATAAAGAGAAAGAAGAAGTGGAGGGAGGAGACAAAGTAGAAGCAGACAAAGAAGATGTGGGGGGAAAGGAAGAGGACCAAGGATATGGTGATCCATTAGATACAGATGTAGATCTTCCAGATCCTGGTTGGACCTCCCACTCAGGATGATCTCCAGTTCTTTCAGAAGCATCTGGTGATATTGTGGTTGTGATAATGCCAAGCACTGTCACAGTAACCACAGCTTCTGACATCCCAGCCAGATTTTTGGCCTTACATTTGTAATCCCCAGCATCTTTGGCAGAAATGCCTGTCAAGCTCATTATGGACCATCTGACTCCTTCCTCTGGAGATTCTTGTATTACTGGAAGAAAACAAATGTATAATCTGTGAGGAAAAAAAGGAAAATTCAAGCAACCATGCCAACTGAGGAGGAAACAGCTATCCGCTCTATATGCATCCTCTCACAAAAGCCAAGAGGGAAATGGCATCCTGCAAGTCTCTGGCAATGGGCGATGGTTCATCAAACTGCTTACATCAAGATCTAGGACCTGCCGGGTGTTGTGAGGTCTGTATAGGGAAGAGTATTTTTAAAAGACAAAAGACTGGGAATCAAGAGACTCGGGTTTTAGAAACTTTTGCCCACTAAATACTATGTAGTTGTAAATAAGTCAATTCACGTCTTTAGGCCTCTTTTTCTGCGTTTATGAAATAGGAGAATGAGATAAAGTGATTTCAAAGATCCCTTTCAATTTTAAGTCACTGTAATTCTATAAAATGTTTATCATAAGACCTCACTTAAGTATTTCTTATGATACTTTTTCATGGTAATTAAACGCATACACCCCTATAGCCTGGGGTATAGCAGATCATTTTCCGGCATGGCAGAGTCATCATTTGTATTCCAAATAATTTATTTTATATTTAACTTAGGTAAACCAGCAAATCACAGATTCTTTTGTTTGCATAATCACATATAGTTTTTTAAAGAAATCTGAATTTTGCTATCGTAAACTCTGGCATCTGGGTATATTTTCATTCTGTCTTGATTTCAGGGGCTTTTCAAAGAATAGTAATGCAAAGAACAGTATCCCAGTAGCCCAAAACCTAACTCACCGGCTGGAACTGTGGGCCACTGACCACGTATACATGGGGACATGAGGCCTTAACTTCTTCATTGCCATCAGGTTTCATTATTTCAACCTGAATTTAGTTTAATTTTGAGGAATTTTAAAAACATATCACTTTAATTTTCAGAATATCACTCTTAAAACTGGGCACAAAGCATGCACATTGTCACACTAGGATCTGAAAAGTCTATATAATCAATATTTATTAAAATTATACTTTTTGATTCATAATAAGGTCTCCATGTAATTTATTATTTAAATAATTACCTGAAAATGAGAGACTTGTACAAAAGGTCCCCCATCTTTTTTTTTTTTGAGACAGAGCCTTACTCTGTCACCCAGGCTGTAGTACAATGGCATGATCTCGACCACAACCTCTGCTCCTCAGGTTCAAGTGATTCTCCTGCCTCAGCCTCCTGAGTAGCTGGGATTACAGGTGCGTACAACCAACCGGCTAATTTTTGCATTTTTAGTAGAGATGGGGTTTCACCATGTTGACGAGGCTGATCTCAAACTCCTGACCTCAGGTGATCTGCCCACCTCAGCCTCCCAAAGTACTGGGATTACAGGCATGAGCCATCGCACCCGGCCAGCAAAAGGCCCTTTTTAAAAAAATGTAATGGTTGTACATTTTGAAGTGAGCTGTATCCAAGGTGATGAAGCAAGACAAAGGCCTTGTCTGCCATATCTCTCCACTACATTGTTTTATTCTACCTAAGAAAAAGAGTTTCGAGTGTCTAATTTTATCTAGGTAGTTAGATAATCTGAGGAGAATACTAACCAATAAAATGTACCTTCAAATCCCTTGCACCCAATACTCTTGAAATACTTTATCTGTATTAACGGGCTAATTTCAAATCACACAAAACATGATGTTAACTTCAGAGCTTTGTAAACTCCTTTGATCGTAGGGCTGAATCAAGAAAATACCTGTGTAATTAACTGGTGAGCTGTCAGATCTGGTCCATGTGAGCTGTGGGGTGGGGAAGCCAGTGGCATCACACCGCAATAAAACATTACTACCCAGAGCAGACATGATTTTGGTGGCCGAGGTCATCACTGATGGTTTCAGACAATGCTCCAACTCAGCCCGCTGAAATAAAATTCCTGTGAGGCGCTCAGGTTCACTGCAAATCATCAGTGGATCCAGAAGCACTATAGCCAGGTCAACAACCTTTGACAACTCAATCATTTTGGAAATATGACAGTCACAGAACCAAGGATTGTCCTGTAGACCTAAAACGGAAGGTGGGAAAGAATGACAAAGGTTATTCTGATGACTTCAGTTTCATCCTGTCTCTTGAGAAGGTAGGGATCTAAAGCATAGTCACTTTTATGTCAGTTTTGCTCTGCAATCCAACAATTTCAATGAACATATCCTAACCATTAGTTCAGATCATTAATAATCATGGCTAATACTTACTGAACACTTACTCTGTGTTAGATTATGTTCTAAGCACTTACTATCACATTTAATCCCAATAACCCTATAATAAATGATATTATCATCCCCATATTAAAGATGAAGCTCAGACACAGAGGGGCCAAATAACTTGGCCAAGGTCACATAGCTAATCAGTGTCAGAGCCAAGATTTTAATCCAGGTACCACAGAATGCCGTAATACAGTAATGAAGATCTTTCAAAGGTGCTATGGAAATATTTACAGTATTGTAAGTATTATAGGGTGCTCAGAGGCACCTACCTCAGCCTGGAATAAGTTATGGTTTTAAGTGATTTGAAGGTGTATTGAGGTATGCAAGCTTTGTGTGGTCAAAGACATAGAGTGAAATGCTGGCTATGGCTGGAGAGAAGCCTAGAAGGGCTGGTAGAAGCAAAAACATGGCTTGGCATGAATGTCATATGTGATAACCATAAATGTGACTTGCTCAATACTCCCTTCAAAAGAGAATCAGCTTCAAGCAATGCAGTTAGTTGATAGCTTCCAGTCGCAAGCATCTTCAGGATCTGTCTCACTTTCAGAATTGTTAGCAGAAGCCTTTGGGCCTTCAAGGAGGCTCCTTCAGTGAGAACTTGAAGGAAAGTGAAGGAAATGTTACTGGAAACTAAAGGAAAGAGGATCCTTGCCATGGAGTGGCAGAAAGTTTAGCAGCACTGTCACCTGTGATCCACACGGAAAGTCAAAAGCATACTCAATGCAATGTGGTCTACCCAAGGATATTTCCAAACAGAGTGTTGAAACAACTCCCTGGTGTTTACTAATAAAATATAGAGAAGAGGCAACAGTTAAAAATCTGTTAAATATAAAGGAATATAACTTGCTGAGTTCAATTTAAAAACTATTTCTTATTCTCAGCCTCTCCAAAATTCTCAAATTAAGATAGAACTTCAGGGCAAATATCAAATCTAGGTGGGACTATAAAATTATGTGCTAAAACCTCAGAAGGATCTAAAATGGAGCTTTAGAGTATTCTGTCAGATAAAAGTTTCTCTAGGATCTTAGAAGTGATGTTCTATAACAGCCTCATATAAAGCCCAAGATAGAAAAAAATTTATCACAGAGATTTGTGGTTATGGCTTTTTACTAACGGAGTGGAAGAAAATTTTTACTAAATTGGGAAGAAAAGACAGAACAATTTTACAAATTCTAACCATGGTGGAAATTTAACTGTTAGTTCATAACTTCTATATTTCTTTTATACCTTTTAAAATTATTATAGCAAGTCATGATTGGCTCATGTTTTTCTACCAGTAATGGTAAAAGTTTACTTTTACATCTCCTGTTTTAGGAGTTTGCTTCTCTTCCATGGATTAATAACTTTAAACTTTTCCTCTTATATTTAATCTTGTGAATCTATACCTAGTTATTGAATCATTATTAATTTGAATTGTATTCTCTTAAGTGTTGGCTCTTTCATCCAATTTTACGTGATGAGCAAACTTTCTAGTTTATTTTATGTTGCTATGACCAAGTGTGGCTGTGGAACCTAATGTCTGGGATGAAATCTCGGTTCTGTCAAGCTTCACCCCATGAGTAGGTATCTATACCTACTCTCAGCCTCATCTACAGAATGCAGTAGTTCTTTCACAGAGTTGCATGAATTTTAAATTACATAATTCATGGAAATTACCTGGAGCAATGGTTTATTCATAGTAGAGTCTCTGTGAACTTTAACCTTTCTTGCTAAACATAGTACTTAAAATCTTTTGTAAAATATAGTCATTTCAACCTCTGAATATGTAGCAAATTTCATACACATAAAACATATTCCCTATACTAGGGTCCATATTTTCTTGATCTTAACAAAATAAACCAAATGTAATACAACCTGTACATCTACTAAAAAATAATTCAAAACAAGTACGTAAGTAATGGTGGAGACATAATCTGATAGATTCTGAAATACCTATAATAATGAAGTCAGTTCATAGACATTCAAAAACTCACTTCACCACCAGACACCACATTAGATATTCAATTATTATTGTATATATTAGTTGACCTGATATGTGAAGGCCAGATTTAAATATATGAAAGATAAATTAAAAATAATAGGAAATGACATTCTCACAAACTTTACTGTGCCTGGGTTCCTGATGAGGCTCAACCACTAACTCTGTGCCCTGGATGATGCAACCTTGCTGAGCCTCAGTTTTCTTATCAGCAAAATGGGAGAGCTGACTAGATAAATGCTAGAGCTTTTTACAGCCATAATGTTCTATCAGCCTATAAAATAAAAATAATGATCATAGACTAAAAGAAACCAAAGATGGAACAACAAATTAACACTAAAATCCATCACTCAGTAAAAAGCAGAAGAATATGATAGAATGCCTAATTTGTAACATTTTTATCTCTATTGATTGAGGTGCTAAGATAATCTGTGCATCTAGACTGTCCTAATAGTGCTTTTTTGAGACAGAGTCACACTCTGTCACCCAAGCTGGAGTGTAGTGGCCACGATCTTGGCTCACTACAACCTCCACCTCCAGGTTCAAGCGATTCTCCTGCTTCAGCCTCCTGAGTAGTTGCGATTACAGGCACTCATCACCACACCCAGCCAGCAAATTTTTTGTATTTTTAGTAGAAATGGGGTTTTGCCATGTTGGTCAGGCTGGTTTTGAACTCCTGATGACGTCAAGTGATCTGCCTGCCTTGGCCTCTCAAAGTCCTAGGATTACAGGTGTGAGCCACGGCACTCAGCCCAATAGTGCTTGTTTTTAAAAGTTAAATCTTTCAAGTTTGTGATTTTTCTATGTCTGTACTGATACACAGTTAAAATGTGAATATCATACAAAATGAAACCAGTTTATCAACTTTGACTACAATAAAGAGTAAAGGTAGTCAAGAGTAAAGGTAGTCAATTCTCCTTTTACAAACAATATATCTGATTTTACTTATTAAAATGGAGGGAAAGGGGAATCACTACAATTTTAAAACTCTTCCAAAGTCTGAACTCCCTTCAGTAGTTTTATTTTACTTTGTACGCATATTTTTTACATTAACCAGTTTTGCCTTATACACATTTAAATATCATAAAGAACTAGATTTGGGATTAGATTGTTAGACTGTGACCCACACGGTTTAACAAATTAATCAAGTCAGTTGGTGTGTAATGTTCCGGTAACCTCTACAAAAAGTTATAAAAGATTAAAAATGTTGCTATCAATTGGTATTGTCAGAATTGTGAGCTTTGGTTTGCAAGAAATCAATGAAATGAATATATGCGTTGCCTCCCACAGATAATTAAATCTCAAAGTGAGGATCCAATCATGTGTCTGCTCCCTGAGTGAAAGATAAAACCAGCAAAGAGAAGAGCACAGGAAACAAACGGGCAAGTGTCCTCCAGGGCAAAGATATGTTATCATAGTGCCTAAGAGGAGGAAATGGAATATTTTAAGTCAAATAAAAACAATCAAAAGATTTAGAAAAAAACATGTAAACACCCATCTTAATATAGTAAGAATTCATAAATAGAATTATTCTAAAACATTTATATCGAAATAAAAGGTTACTTATATTTTACACCTATAAATTTGTGTCAATATTCTATATATAAAAGCTATGCTCATCATAGCTTTTTATGATTTGATTTTAAGATTAATTTCTAAATGTGCCAGCACATCAAATTTATTCAGTTATATAATATGTATAAAATATTTCACACTTTGAAAACACTTCAATTTATGCCAGATTTTTTCTTTTTTTAATAATAATTCTAGTTCCATAGGTTTTTGTGTTATGCCAATTTGTACCCCAGTTTAATTACAGAAAAGGCAACAATTTCTAAATTGGTGGTATATATTTCTTTATAATTTTTTAATGTAAGGCCATTTATTAAAATAGACAAACTGTAAGATGAAAATGAAGGCAACAGAAAAATTCAAACTTTCACAACCAAAAATATTAGCACAACCTCAGAAATAATTTAGAAAAAAGTGTTGTTAAAAGACATGTTGTACATCTTCTTTCCATTACCCAAGATTATGTCAATTCATGGTTCTAAATAAATCTTTTTAAAGTAAGAGATTAAAAACTCATCTTCAGCATATATGTAAATTCTGTGTTTATCACACAGGTATATTTATTCAACACTATCTTTTGAAAATGGGCCATTTAAAAAGACATAGCAATTTCCATTCTGTAAGTTTCATTAAACTTTACTTAGGGTTGAATACACATGAAATGTGCCTTTAATGCATAAAAATCACAGTGGATAGCAGCAAAGACTGGGCGGGGAGTACTGAGGAGAATTTGATAATTCACATTGTGATTATTCTGCACATTGATGAAATAGAATTCACACCTCTAAAACCTCAAGACTTCCCTTTTTAAAGAACCAAAAGAAACCCAAGACACCTTGCTGACACTTCCCCACCCCTAAACAAACTGATGACTCTTTTACACATAAAACTGAAATGGTTATGGCAGCAAAAGGTTTTGATGGCAATGAAAGTTTGTAAACTGTCTTTCAATCTCTTTTTCTTATTCCCAGAGTGCAAGATGTAGGGTTCTCAGTCTTTCAGTAGTGCTTCTCCTGTAAACAATCCTTCATTTTTTCTGGCAAAGGCAGTTTCTGAATTAAGTCTATCCTGGTATACTAACATGTAACAAAAAGACACAGGTACTGCAGGGAGCACACATGCATGAACCAGGACCCTGGGTTGGTGAGTCTGACTGGGTAAGTTGCAGATCCAGGCAGCAGAGACCTTGAATAACAAAAAGCCCTATTTTCAGAGTACCTGATTGAATGCTTAATTAGATCAACTATGGATGTATGTCCTTCCACATCTGGCTGTTCATAAAAGCTAAATCTACCATTTGAGCACTCAATTCTAGTGTGAAATGTTTTACCATGGGGGCAAAAGCTCAAGCTTAAAAGGTAACGGTCATCAGAACTGTCCCGGACAAGAAAAGAACCATCTGGCATCTTTGCTAGGCTCCCTTCTGCCTCCCAACATGTGGTTGTTTCCCAGTACCATCCTCGTTTTGCAAGTTTTTTCAGCTCCTCTGTGAGGTGTGACACAAGCATGGGACCACTACTTTGCACTGAGTCAAACTCTTGCAACCCCAGGAACAGAGTTAAGATCAAAATTGAAATGACAGCACATACTTTTACTCATGTGGGCCTCTGTGCCAGTAAGTCCACTGAAGTTCCTTTGGATTTGAATATTCTGCACTGGAGGTAGCAATGGTGGGCGTGGAGGGACATCATTGTGAACCGCTCTCAGGCTCTGCAACATGACTCCCGTGGTGCCAATCAACAAGCCATTCACCAACTGCTCCACAAAGATCTCTGGGGCAACAACTAGGTCCTGGTCTACCTGAACCTCGACTTCAGGGAAATGGCCCCCTCCCACTTGAGGAGGAACCGCAGAGACTTCCATGGGAGAAGAACTGTTGAGACAACATCTACGTGATCCTTCCAAAGGATACATCCCCTCATCTAAAGACACAGTCTATTGAATGTAGTCCTGAAGCATAAGTCCAGTAATGACAGGTCTCGGTTATGAGAAGCCGAGCTCTTCAGTGAATTGACTTGCTCTTGGCACACAGTCTCACACCTGTAATCCCAACATTTTGGGAGGCTGAAGTGGGAAGATTGCTTGAGGTCAGGAGTTCAAGACCAGCCTGGGCAACATGGTGAGATCCTGTCTCTACAAAAAATACGAAAGTTAGCTGGGTAGCAGCACTTACCTGTTGTCCCGGCTACCCAGGAAGCTGAGGTCGGGAGATCAACAGAGCCCAGGAGGTGGAGGCTGCAGTAAGCCATGATTGCGCCACTGCACTCCAGCCTGGGTGACAAAGTGAGATACTCTTTCAAAATAAAATAAAATAAAATTTTAAAATGTTAAAGCAGCAAAATCTGGAGTATAAATGTTTAGGAAAAGATTCAAGAGCTACGACGTTAACAATTTATTTCATGCTTTGAAATTATTTTAAAATGTATTAATGGTAAAACAAAATTCTTTAAAAAATTAATTTAACTGGTTATATCTAAAAGTTATGTAAATATTTTTAAATCCCTCAAAAATAAAATGTCTATTTATTTCAGCTTGAAACATCTAAGGTCAAAGGAAAAAGTAGTGACCAAGAACTGAATACATTTAAGTGTTTTTTTCTTCTGAGGACAAAGGTAAGAGAACTCTCTGAGTTAAACTGTTACTTGCACTGCATTCCTTCAAGGCAACACATCAACCACAATTACACTAATTTGCATTAATTAGTTTACTTTATATAACTATTCTTGGATGGTGGGGACAAGTGAACTTAATCTTTTCTAAAAGAATAATATTTATGTGCATCAGAATAGTTGGACTAAATGTGCTTTTTTGTGTGGGAAAAGTGAGCAATAAATTCTTGCACAAAAGTTACTCTGAGGACTATAAGCCCTTGAAGGTACAGACCATGCCTACTCAGCTTTGTGGAGACAACAGTCTTTAACAATTCAGTGGGGAAAGGAACATCTTTTTTTTTTTTTTTTCTTGAGACAGGGTCTTGCTCTTTTGTCCCGGCTACAGTGCAGTAGTACGATCTCGACTCACTGCAACCTCTGCCTCCCAGGTTCAAGTGATTCTCCTGCCTCCGCCTTCTAAGTAGCTGGGATTACAGGTCCCTATCACCATACTCAGCTAATTTTTGTATTTTTAGTAGAGACAGGGTTTCACCATCTTGGCCAGGCAGGTCTTGAACTCCTGACCTCATGATCCACCTGCCTCAGCCTCCCAAAGTGCTGGGATTACAGGCGTGAGCCACCATGCCTGGACTACATCTTTTTAATGAATGGTGCTGGAACAAGTGGACATGTGTTTGCAAACATATAAACCTCAACCCCTACTTTACACAATACTCAAAAACTATTTTTAAATGGATAATAGCTATAAGTATAAGAGCTAAGAATAGACAGCTAAAATTGAGTATAAAGGCTGAAACCATAAGAAAATAACATATCTGTGATATTGAGGTAGGCAAATATTTTTTAGGTGGTACGCAGAAAGCACTAACTGTGAATGAAAAAGGTAATGAATCAAATGTCATCAAAATTTAAACCTTTCTTATCAAAGACATGAGGAAAACCGAATAGGCAAGTCAGCCTTGGAAAAAAAATTCATAATGCTATAACAGACAAAAGACTTATATTTAATCACGAAAGAAAGACAAATAACCCTTAAAAATTAAGTAAAAGATAGTTCATAAAGGAAGATATACAGTGACCCATAGCAAATGAAAACAGCTTTGTGACCCACCCAATCCCCAAATAACTGAAATGAGAAAGACCAACAACATCAAGTGTTGGTGAGGATATGGACCAACCAGACTGTTATGCATTGCTAGTGGAAATGTATAATGTTATACAGCCTCTTTGAAAAATGGGTAGTTTCCTTAAAAGTTATATGTGTAATCATTCTTTTTTTTCCCCACCCAGGATGAAGTGCAGTGATGTGATCTCAGTTCACTGCAACCTCTGCCTCCTGGGTTTCTCCTACCTCAGCCTCCTGAGAAGCTGGGACTATAGGTGTGCACCATGACACCTGGATAATTTTCATATTTTTCGGTAGAGACAGGGATTCCCCACATTGGCCAGGCTGGTCTCAAACTCCTGACCTCAAGTGATCTGCCCACCTCAGCTTCCCAAAGTGCTAGATTACAGGCATGAGCTACTGTGCCCAGCCATACAGCCATTCTATAACCCAGCAATTTCAATCCTAGGAATTTATCCAAGAGAAATGAAAACATGTGCCACAAAAAGCTTTGTACAAGAATGTTAATTGAAGCTTAATTTATTATGGTCCCAAACTCAAAACAGCCCATGTGTCCAACAATAGGAGAAAGGATGAACAATTGCTCCATTCACACAACTGAATACAATTTTTCAATAAGGAAGTACCAATACATGCAAGAGAATCAATGATTTTCAAAAACATAATGCTAAGTGAAAGAAGCCTAGCACAAAAGTGCATCTTGTATGATTCCATTTATATAACATTCTAGAGCTGGCACAATTAGCCTATAGCGAAGAAAATTCAAAACAGGCAAGATCGACTGGAAAGAAACACAGGACTTTCTGGAGTAATGGAAATATTCTGTATCTTGATGATGGTGTGAGTTATTTAAGGCTATACCTTTATCAGAATTTACCAAATTGTAGACTTACAGTCCTGCATTTCACCTATCCAAAGTATACCTCAATGTCTCAATTAAAAACAAAGAATATTATGCAGCAATCAGAAATGATGAGTTTGTGTCATTTGTAGGGACATGGATGAATCTGGAGAACATCATTCTCAGCAAACTGACACAAGAACAGAAAATGAAACACCGCATATTCTTACTCATAGGCGGGTGATGAAAAATGGGAACACGTGGACACAGAGAGGGGAGTACTAAACACTGGGGTCTATTGGGGGGAAAAGGGGAGGGCCAGTGGGAGGGGGAGGTGGGGAGGGATAGCCTGGGGAGAAACGCCAAATGTGGGTGAAGGGGTGAAAGCAAACAGAACACACTGCCATGTGTGTACCTATGCAACTGTACTGCATGGTCTGCACATGTACCCCAAAACCTAAAATGCAATAAAAAAAAATAAGAAAAAAGAAACAAAGCTTTAAAAATTAAAGAGTGATGTCTTTGGAGATGAACGGTAAATTTGAAGCTTGACTCTGCCTTCTTACTAGCTGTGGAAAGAGGGTGAGGATTAGAGCAAGGCATAAACCTTAACTATGTGAATTTGTTTCCTCAAACCAAAAAAAGGATGTGGCACATCTACAGAGATTGATGTGTTTTTTGAACTAAATTGACACCATTTTAGAAAAGTATAGAAATATTAGGGCTGTCACTGACCTTCAGGCAAACTCCATTTCAAATAGGAAAAGAGCCCATGCTTACAACTGAGCAAATTTGGGTACAAGTAAAACAACACCCAAAAAAAGCATTTTATGTTTTCTCCTACTGCAGACCTTTCTCCCAAGACAAACAGTGTCAAGGCCTTACAGAATATGCCTGTATAAATATTTGCTTAATCTTGAGAAAGAGACCATGGAACTTTACCTGTATTGCAAATTAATATCTAATTTTATAATTAATTCCAATATTTATTTGCAGGGCAATATTTTAAGTTTTCATGGATACAATAAATGACAATTTAACCACGTTGATTCTTTTTTTCTTTTTTTTGAGACAGAGTTTTGCTCTTGTTACCCAAGCTGGAGTGCAATGGCGCGATTTCGGCTCACTGCAACCTCCGCCTCCCGGGTTCAGGCAATTCTCCTGCCTCAGCCTCCTGAGTAGCTGGGATTACAGGCATGCGCCACCATGCCCAGCTAATTTTTTGTATTTTTAGTAGAGACGGGGTTTCGCCATGTTGACCAGGATGGTCTCGATCTCTTGACCTCGTGATTCACCCGCCTTGGCCTCCCAAAGTGCTGGGATTACAGGCGTGAGCCACCACACCCGGCCTAAGTTGATGTTTTTACTCCTGTAGAAGAGAAAGAGTAATTGAAAAGCATCACCGTAATGTTTTTATTACATACATATATGATCTAAAGTGGTCAGTAAAGTAATGAATATATGAAGAAAGAAACTCTGTTGTTACTGTATACTTCACGTTATAAAGAAGGGAGAAGGACCTGGGGTCTGGACCAGATGACCTGTCCTCAAAACCCAGCTCCACCACTATATGATGAGTGAATTTGGGCAAGTGGCTTACCTTGTGTCTTATTTTTTCATCTATAACATGGGGATGAAGTGGTATTTACTATGGAGTTAATGTGAGACTAGAAGTCACATAGGTCAAGTATAAGAACCAGGTTGGCATTGAGTAATTCCATCAAATTAACTATTAGTATTATTATTACAAATAGAACCCCAATCTTCTAACAATAATCAACAGAGAGTAATAAAAATTAAATAAAAGTAGACTATATCCCACTATAACAGAACAGAAGCAAATTCTACAGGACACCTGGAAAGATATAATTGCTATACTTAAATGCTATGTTTTAGAAAAGCTAGGACTGGTTCTCATCACTACATTCAGTGATGCAACTAAAAGGTCCAAATATTGTTGGAATAACAAAAAGGGCAAACGAAGTCTTTATAGGACACTCCCATCCCAGTCACAGCTTCTGTAGATAATCGTTGATCTAAAAGCATAATCTCAGAGACTGTGAACTTCGTATTCTAAAGAACTGCTACGGGAGGAGGACTCAAGATGGCGCTGTGAGAACAACCCAGGATTGGAGCTCGCGTTGAATCCGCAAACGGTGAGTCTGAGCTGCATTTCCAGACTGATCTTTGTTGCCCACAGAACGGGGAAACTCCCAAGTATAAAAAAGACACGGGACGCCAGGCAGTAGGTCTGCCTGGCGAAGCCGGCAGCCGGGGCAGCGGCGGCCAGCCCTACCCAGCAATCCCCACAGGGCGCGCTTGTCTGGGTGCCTTGTTGAACCGGCAACCTGAGACTTGAGAGGGCTGGACTTGAGACCGAACGAGACTTAAACAGAAGCCCAGCCCAGGGGATTGTAGGGACAGATCATTTGGGATACCCAGTGGGACGAACAAAACCGCGATTTCAAACTATCTTGAGCAGACGGCCCGAGAGGCTCTGTGGGGGAGGGGCGTCCACCACTACCGAGGCAACCCGCCCTAACTGAGATACATGCCCACTGCTGATGCAGCCAGCCGTTGACGAGGCAACCCGCCCCAACTGAGATACACGCCCACTGCTGACGGCAGACAGCCGTTGCCGAGGCAACCCGTCCCTACTGAGATACACGCCCACTGCTGACGCAGTCGCTGAGGCAACACGCTACAACGAAGAGACTCCGCCTCAGGGCGTGGCGGAGACCACAGCAGAGCCTGCAGGAACAGGGCGAATCACACAAGAGCAGGGCAGAGCCTCGGCAGCCAAACAGTGGCTAGTCTGCCTTCTAGCTGGGCAGGACACCTCATCGAACATCCAAAATAAAGCCCAAACCCCTCAACACAGAGCATTTGAGAAAAAAAAAGGGGGGGTTTTTAATGAGCTCTGTTGCAGCAGAATCAAACATAGCAGCCTAAAAGCCCTGAATGAACAACAGAGCGCACAGCTCAGCAATTAAGCCCCTATAAAGTACAAACTGTCTCCTCAAGCAGCTCCCTGACCCATCTATATCCAAAAGACTGACATTAGGCAGGCATCATCCTGGGACAAAGATAGCAGAAAAAGAAACTGGTAGCATCCCTCGCTGTGCCACAGCTGCTAGAGGTGCACCCCAGACAAGCAGGGTCTGGAGCGGACCTCAGCAGTCGTACAGCGAAAGGGCTAGACTGGTAGAAGGAAAACCAAGCAACAGAAATACTTCATCATGAACATTCTCGGTGTCCACTCAGAGACCCAATCGAAAAGTCAGCAACTACGCAGACGACCAGCGGAAAAATCCACAAAGATGAAAAGAAACCAGCGCAAAAAGGAGGAAAACACCCGAAACCAGAACACCTCGCCTCCTAGAAAGGACCAAAACTCCTCACCAGCAAGGGAACAAAGCTGGACGGAGAATGACTGTGACGAAATGACGGAATTAGACTTCAGAAGACGGATAATGAGAAACTTTTGTGAGCTAAAAGATCATGTATTAAATCAATGCAAAGAAACTAAGAACCTTGAAAAAAGATTCAAGGAAATAATAACAAGAATGGATAACTTAGAGAGGAATATGAATGAATTAAAGGAGTTGAAAAAACAATACGAGAACTTTGCGAAGCATGCACAAGTTTCAATAGCCGAATCGACCAAGCAGAAGAAAGAATATCTGAAGTCGAAGACCAACTTAATGAAATAAAACGAGAAACCAAGATCAGAGAAAAAAGCGCAAAAAGGAATGAACAAAGGCTCCAAGAAATGTGGGACTATGTGAAAAGACCTAACCTACGTTTGATAGGTGTACCAGAAGGGGAAGAAGAGAATGAATCCAAGCTGGAAAATACTCTTCAGGACATCATCCAGGAAAATTTCCCCCACCTAGCAAGACAGGCCAACACTCAATTGCAGGAAATACAGAGAACACCACAAAGATATTCCGCAAGAAGAGCAACCCCAAGGCACATAATCATCAGATTCAACAGGGTTGAAATAAAGGAGAGAATACTAAGGGCAGCCAGAGAGAAAGGTCGGGTCACCCACAAAGGGAAGCCCATCAGACTCACAGCAGATCTCTCGGCAGAAACACTACAAGCCAGAAGAGAGTGGGGGCCGATATTCAACATTCTCAAAGAAAAGAACTTTCAACCCAGAATTTCATATCCAGCCAAACTGAGCTTCAGAAGTGAAGGAAAAATAAAATCCTTTGCGAACAAGCAAGTACTCAGAGATTTTGTCACCACCAGGCCTGCTTTACAAGAGCTCCTAAAAGAGGCACTACACATAGAAAGGATCAACCGGTACCAGCCATTCCAAAATCATACTGAATGCTAAAGAGCATCAACATAATGAAGAATCTACAACAACTAACAGGCAAAACAGCCACTTAGCATCAAAATGGCAGTATCAAATTCACACATAACAATATTAACCCTAAATGTAAATGGACTAAACGCAGCAATCAAAAGACACAGACTGGCAAATTGGATAAAAACCCAAAACCCAGCAGTGTGCTGTATCCAGGAAACCCATCTCACATGCAAGGATACACAAAGGCTCAAAATAAAGGGATGGAGGAAGATTTACCAAGCTAATGGAAAGCAAAAAAAAGCAGGAGTTGCAATTCTCATCTCTGATAAAATAGACTTTAAAGCAACAAAGATCAAAAGAGACAAAGAAGGCCATTACGTAATGGTAAAAGGATCGATACAACAAGAAGAGCTAACGATCCTAAACATATATGGACCCAATTCAGGAGCACCCAGATACATAAGGCAAGTTCTTAATGACTTACAAAAGGACTTAGACTCCCACACAATAATAGTGGGAGACTTTAACACTCCACTGTCAATACTAGACAGATCAACCAGACAGAAAATCAACAAGGATATCCAGGGCTTGAACTCAGACCTGGAGCAAGCAAACCTGATAGACATTTACAGAACTCTCCACCCCAAATCCACAGAATACACATTCTTCTCAGCACCACATCACACCTACTCTAAAATTGACCACATAATTGGAAGTAAAGCACTGCTCAACAAATGCAAA